AACCCCCCTACGATCGTAAACGCCGGCACCAGGAGGACTCCGGTTCCGAACCCAGCGACTACGAGGAGCAGAAGGAGGAGGAAGAAGCTCGGAAAGTCAAAAGCGGCATCCGCCAGCTTCGCCTCTTCAGCGCCGAGGAGTGCGCCAAGATCGAAGCTCGGATCGAGGACGTGGTGTCCCGGGCGGAGAAGGGGCTCTACAAGGAGCACACGGTGGATCGGGCGCCGCTGCGGAACAAGTATTTTTTCGGGGAGGGCTACACCTACGGGTCTCAGCTGCAGAGACGAGGCCCCGGCCAGGAGCGCCTGTACCCGCGGGGGGAGGTGGATGCCATCCCCGAGTGGGTGCACGACCTGGTGATCAGGAAGCTGGTGGAGCACCGGGTGATTCCGGAGGGCTTTGTGAACAGTGCCGTCATCAACGACTACCAGCCAGGGGGCTGCATTGTCTCCCACGTGGACCCCATCCATATCTTTGAGAGGCCCATCGTCTCCGTCTCCTTCTTCAGCGACTCGGCGCTCTGCTTCGGGTGTAAATTCCAGTTCAAGCCCATCAGGGTCTCGGAGCCCGTTCTCTTCCTGCCGGTGAAGAGGGGAAGCGTCACGGTGCTCAGGTAACTCGCCCGCGTTGCCGAGGCCTCCGTATAACGTGCCGAGGCTCGGTTGTGTAACGCTAATCACGAGGCGCGCGGATGCGCACCCCGACGGCGGCTCGGGCTTGAGCTCGCCCGCCTGTAGGCATGCAGGGTCTCGCTGCGGCGGAAGGGGGGTCCTGCTGCTGGGGTGAGTGGGGATTTGTCGTCTCTGCGGGGCTCCCGGCGAGTCCCAGTGGGAGCGTGGCCACTTGCAGAGCTGAGCTTTGCCGTAGGTCCCGTAAACGGTTAAAATAACGCATCGAGGCACAAAATGGATCCTTTTCCCCAGAGCGGAGCAGCTGGTTGGGACGGGGATCCTGAGTCTATTCTTAGCTTGGCCAGTGCCTCCCCAGCCTGACCTTAAGCGTGGAGAGGAGGTGTGAACAGCCTCGTCTTCCCAGTCTGTAAACTGGGAATGCTAAACCCTCTCCTGCCCGGCACCGGTGGGCCGACCAGAGCCTGGATTCCCTGTGGGACTGTCCCTCGGAAGCGCAGCGCTGGGTCACAGGCACAGGAAAGGACTTGACGTGCGTTCGTGGAAGCAGGGGAATGGCTGTGGAGGTGAAATGACCTGCCCAAGGTCACGCAGCCGGTCGGTAGTTAGAGCTGGGATTGGCACTGGGAAACGCCTGCTTCCTAATCCCCGCTGCCTCCCGGCACCGTACGCGCTGAGCGGGCAGGTGAGCGGGCCTGCGCAGGCCAGTGCGTACGGACCCAGCACTCTTGGGGAGGGCGGCTCGAAGCCCAGCGCCCAGGGCTGCCTGACTCAGTGAGCACCAGTCCCTCCCGTCCTGAAGGTCAGAGCGCTCCCTGCCAGGAGCAGGGATCGCCTGGACGCTGCCAGCAGCGCTCCGAGCTACCAACTTTATCCCGTTTGGGGTTGGTTTTTTTTTTTTTGGACTGGTGAAGGTCCAGGTTGGTTTTCAGGGCTCCCAGGCTGTAACACAATCCCGCTTTGGCTTGTAAAGTGATCGCCGCAGGGTTGGGGAAGGAATTTTTTTCTCCCCGCATCCATACGGCCTCGCAGCGTTGAGTAGGGCATCAATAATAAACGCCGAGATCTCGCGTAGCTTTTCTCTCGGAATAGCTGCCCCGACGTTAACTAATCCTCGCCGTACCCCCCGGCGTTAGGTAACTTCTCTGGATTAGCGAGGGATGAGGGAGGCTGCGGAGGGAAGTGGGAACGGTGCTGGGGACGTTTTCTCGTCTGGGGTGGGCAGAGATCAGGGTGATTTTGTGAAACAGGACCTGGAGGGACCCATCCTTTTATCGCAGAGCAAGCTCCGTTCCCGGGGATGGAAACAGCCGGGTGCGAGGCAGCCGCTTCACTCTCTTCTAGACACGAGGAGGGAAACTTTCTACCCTCATTTTCCTGCTGGTGATGCAAACCCCTGGGCTGCCGTTCCCTGAGGGGGGCTGGTGTAAATAGTTGTCCTTCCTTTTCAAGGCCAGAGGTCCTCTTTTTAAGGCCAGTGAGAGTTTTTTCCTGCTCAGCAGCATGCTGGCAGAGCTGTTTAATGCAGGATCTGGAGTCTCGGAGTCAAAGCTGCTAGGAAAGCTCGCGCAGCCTTACATCCAGAGGAGGATGAGGACTCTGCAGGGGAGGAGGGAGAGGTGCTTTTCTCCTCTCCAGCACCAGGGAATGATGTTTTCTTGTCCTAGATCCTCGCTCTTCCCCCAAAACTGCCGGGAAGAGGCAGCTGACTCAGGGCTCCCGGAATTGGAGCGGGGTGTCTCCCAGGCCTGTTTGGGTTGTTGGCCAGCCTCCCCCTGGGTGCCGTAATACGTTTATTAACGTGGCTGAAGCAATTGTACATATCAAATGAAGATACCCTTTTTTCCCCCCAACTGGAAGGGTTTGCTTTCTGTCACCCACCGTTCTGCTTTCCAGCAAATAATAGACTTCAAACCAGGGGTGATTTCAATTTCGGTACAGCAGTTAGCAGATACTTAGCACTCACTTAAGAGAGATTCTGCCAAGTGATTGGTCTGTGATGATATGATCCTGGCTGGATACAAGTTCCTCGGCAGATCTCCTCCTCTCCCCTCTAACCCCAGCAATTTGGGAGGAGCGGGGCAGGCTCTCAGGGGTGTATCTCTGAAATCCGTCCCTTGGTCATGTTTGAAGTCAACTCCCCAAACTTGGCTTTTTCTCCTCTCAGTAAACAGTTGCTGGAGGCAGTTGCCCTGGAGATAGGGAAACGGCGCAGATAGAAACATGCTTGTCATGTCTGTGATTCAAATACTGCTGGGTCAGTGGCTGCTGCTGGCATGCCGCCCTTCCAGGGAAGTCAGCATTACCTTGTGGGAATCCTGAGGCGCTCCCGATTTTGTAGCCGTCTTCCCGGTAAGGAGTTTGCGGAGGAGCTTTCCCCATGTCCCTCCCTTGGCTTTACTTGCCTGCAGTGAAGCAGGCTGTGGTGTTTGCAAACACTGAACCCGCCTCAAACTCAAACGGAATACCGGGAAGTGTTCACACCTGGAATGACAGGTTAGTGTTTAAAAGGTGGAAGGGAAATGCTCCTGTGCACGTGTGCCAGCAGGACAAAGGCTGAGCCACCCCGCAACCTGCTAATGAGCCCTTTGCTCTTCCAGCGAGGCACTTTTTCCTCTCACATCCGTGGTGAAGATTTGCCCCTGTAGGTTTACACATCTAGAAGACAACCTCCTCCAGTCCCCTCTTCCCCTGCCGCCCCCGGAAGCAGATGCTCCTGCAGGTTTGTCCTGCTGCCAGTCCCATGGAGCATCAGCTGCATGTTGGGGGCTGCTGGCTGGACCGGCTTGGTGGGTTTTCTTCTTTTTTTAGAAAGAATTTGATAAGCATCAATTGATAGAAGCAGTGTGGAGATGGAGGAATTCCCCCGTTCGTCCACGAAACACGTGCTTTGACAAATCCTGGAAGAAGGGGAGAGCTGTGGGGGTGTGGAGCCAGCCAGGGTGCGTGGTTCCAGCCGGACCCCTGCCCCATGCCCTGCTGTTGCAGGTAGCAAATCTCTGCAGCGAGCTGGCTTTTGTTGAACTTCCAGGTGTTGCGTCTCGGAACCGTGGCTGGAAATAGCGCAGCTGCAGTATGGGATGACCAAAGGGAACACTTCCCAAGTTCTGAGAGCTTCTATTCCGTATGGGTTTCCCTTTGCAGCTGGTGAGAGCACCAGGTCGTCTCCCTGCTGTTTGTTCCCGCAGTGGGAACGTCATGCTGTTTGTCTCTCCCGCTGTCTCGAGGCAAGCCTGTTGGTAGCATGGTTGGAGTCTCCGGAGGATGAACCTGCTTTCTTCCCAGCTGGAGGAATCTCCGCAGCTGCCTGGATTAGATGCTTTTCCAGAAAAGTCTGATCCCTCGGAACAGGCTGTTGGCGCAGAAAAAGTTCTGCGTGTGCCAGTGGTGATGAGGCGAATGGATTTGTTCAAGCTCTGCGTGAACTGGTCGATGCGGTGTCCGTGGTTTGTGGCGGCAGCTTTCCTGAACCACAAGTGAAGCCTCGAGCTGCTCCAACCCTGTGCTGGGCTGGCGCCTGAGGTCCCTCTGCCCGCGAGCCGGCCTGGCTGTCATCAAACCCTGGGAATATTTTGTGTTGGAGCCTCTGCAGAACTTCGGGGCCTCCTTTCGGGTGATGGCTGTGCAAAAAAAATACTTCCATCTCCATGTGAATCGGTTACGCTGTGGCTCAGCTGTAGCTCTGGGCTGAAAGAGGCTCAGGGAGGAATTGGGAGTATGAGATCCGACAGGTTACCTGGGAGTTGGGAGAGTGTGTGGATGGCATCTGCGCCTCCCCGTGTTCCTCTGGAAAAGGTTTCAGGCTGGAGACAGCGTGCTCGGGTGTCCTCGTGGGCAGCAAGCAGGTCAGGGCTTTCCTTGCCCCCTTCTCTCTCGCCTTGTCCTTTGGGTTTGTTCTCTGGGCAAGAAGGCTCTGGGTAAGGCCTCGATCACGTCACGGGTGTTTCATTCCGGCATCTGCCCCTTCATCCATCATCCGGACCTGGCAAGGCCGGGCAGTGGGTGAGAAGTTCACGCTGCATGAAGCAGAGTGAGTGTGACACAAGCAAATAATCCCGTTCTTCCATTTTTCTGCCTGTGTGAACCCCTGTGCTGGAGAGCCACGCAGCGTCGCTGTCGCTATAGGGCTCAAGGTGGGGTTTCCCACACCAGCGTGGCACTGGGGCAGACTGGTCCCCGTTAGGGCCTCGGACAGGGGTACCGGGGCTGTTGCTTTGGTGCTACCCGCGATCTCTGCCTGGCACCGCTCTGAGAGCGAGCTGCTTCCCGCCTGGGGAGCGCGGAGGAGTGGCCAGGCTCACGTCTCGGGGTGGGGAACGCAGGTCTGGGAGCAGAACTTTTCCCCCTGTTCAGGGTGTCGCTGAGGATGCGCCGAGTTGAGTGTTAATGGGGGTGATATTAATGAATTTGCTGGAGCTTGACATGGGGATTCCTGGAACATAACGGAGCATCCTCAGAAGCCCCTTTGCAGAATGCTGGCTTGTTCTGCGATGCTCCGGAGGACGGGGGGTTGGACACCAACTCGTTTTAACCGATCAGGTTTTAGGCTCTTAACTTTTCCCAAATCCATCTCGGAGAGGTGGGCGTTTCTCGGTGAGTGGGTGGGTTATCTAACCAGATACAGGAAACCCGGTCCCGTCCCCGGGGAGGACCGGTGTGTGCGTGATCTGTTCTCTGCTCTCAGCATCCCGAATAACCTGCAGCCCATGTCCCGCTGCTCGGGGGCTGCTGGCAGTAAAGCCCCATGGAGCGAGTGGGCTCGGGAGTTTCCGCTTCAGGTTAAACCGGCGTGGGGGGTGTGCTGGCTTTGCATGGTGTGAGCAGCCGTCAGCAGGGTCCCTTCAGACATTCCTGTCCTTGCTGGCGGCTCTGATGGCATTTACCTTCTCTTTTTCCCATACTGGGCTCTTTTGGACCAGACACTCTCCAAACAGCAGGTGGAGGGCAGGGCCACCTCGGTCCTTCTTGCTAGCGCCCACACGAGTGACAAGATGCTCTCCTGGCAGCATGGTCCCTGTGTCCAGGCTGGTGCCGTGGCTGCTGTCCACGGACCCGCTGCTGTCTCGTGTGCTGTGCCGGACCCCGGAGTTGTGCTGAAGCAGCCGCGAGAAAAAGGCTCCTGTGTGCTGCAGGTAGCCAGGGCCCTCGCTGGCCACGGCTTTCCTCCTGCCCGCAGGGAATGTGGGTTGGGGAGGCTCTCTCGTACCGTGGAATGCTCCTGTGGAGAGCTGCTCTGCGTGGCCATGTGCTGCTGGAGCCTGGTGTGGTTTTGGGCAGCCCGGGGCCTGTCCCGCCCGGTGGCAGGGAGGTTTTGGGAGCGTGACTTGGTTTGCAGGCCTGAATTTGAAGGTTACGCTGTGTCGTGTTGGGGTTGGGCTGTGCTGGGGGGGTGATGTTTGTGCCGTGGCTGAGGATGTGAGGCACAGGGAGAGGGTGCCGAGACCAGAGTGAGGGGGGTGGGACACCTGACTCACCGCTGCACCCCCTCCTCGACTAAGGAACCTTCTCTCTGACTCGGCACGCTTTCGTGTCTGGCTGTGCTGTGCCTCTCAGCCACGAGAGATGGTCTTTTCTTCGGGGACACATGTGAGAAGATGCTTTGGAGCAATGTGCTGATGTTTTTCCCGGTTGCTCTCTAATCTCTTGATCAGTGAATGGCCTGAATTTACACTCCATAAACTCATTTTCTACATGCTTTATCTCACAAAGTTGTGGCAGGTGGTGGTTGCCTCTGGTGTATGCTAAAAAATAGAGGACAAAAAAGGCCCCTGACCGTCCTCATTCTTTCCTGAAGTTTCTTCTTAGCTCCCGTGTGCCTGGGAATGGTGTTTGGCAGAGGAACTCCTGGTGGCAGTTGGGAAACGATTGGCCAAACTGAGTTGTCGGGCTGGCAAGTGCTTTCTGCTTCTGCCCGTCATCTTTCTCACCGCAGCTTTTTGTTTTCTGTTGTCAGTGGATATGCAGCCGATGAAATCACACACTGTATTCGACCACAGGACATCAAGGAGAGGAGAGCTGTCATCATCCTTCGGAAGTAAGTGTTGAAGCCCTCCGGACAGTAAGATAAACTCGGATGCGGCGCGATGTTTCCTAAGGTGCTTTTAAAGAAACGCTTCGGGACTGCCTTGCTTGTTAATTTGCTGGCTTGATGGCACATCCTGATTAGCTGTCACGCTGATGCTCACGCCTGTCTTGCCCTACCCGTCGCTCGGCTGGTGGAAGTAGACGGAACTCGTTAACTGCGGAGTTAATCGCTTCTTGGCTCCGTGCAGCGGTGCTGCAGTGTGATGCCTGGGTTTGCGAGCGCTGTTCGTGCCCGAGCACCTGCCCAACAGCCAGGATTTCAAACTCTGGGGTTTGGGCTGTGTATTCAGGTGTCGGATCATACGATACCCATATGTGTGAGTTACCTGGTCGGTCCTTTGAAGCTGATGCTTACGATGAAGAATCTCCTGTAAAGCAGATGAAGTTTTCATGGTAGCGTGGCTTTAATTTCCGGGGGAGGGAGAGGAAGACGCTGGCTTAGAAGGGAAACGGATGCAGTGAATTTAGTCATCGCTTTACAGAGCTTGTCCTTCGAGTCGGTGTTGGGAAGCCAAGCTCTGTAAGCTGTATCTTACACTGCTTGTTTTAGGGGATGCACTGTCCTGGTTGGCTGATGGCATTTCATCAGCCAATGTGTTCCTAAACTCCTCAGAAAAGAAAATTTAAAAAAAAACCCTAAGCTAGCTGCACCCCAAACTCCTCAGTATAACCTTGTTTTCTGCCCAGAAATGTCCTCTTGCATCAGTTCCTTCTACTAGACCAAAAAATGTGACTGCCACGTGTTGATTGTGCCTCAGAAGGTGTTAGCAGTAATTCCACTGCCAAGAAATCTTTTTGCAAGTGAAAACACATGTGATTTGAGTATCACACAATCACAGACTGGGTTGGGTTGGGAGGGACCTTAAAGCCCACCCAGTCCCACCCCCTGCCATGGGCAGGGACACCTTCCACCAGACCAGGTTGCTCCCAGCCTCATCCAGCCTGGCCTTGGACACTTCCAGGGATGGGGCATCCACAGCTTCTCTGGGCAACCTGTCTCAGTGCTCCCCACCCTCTCTGGGAAGAATTCCTTCCTGATATCTAATCTAAACCTCCCCACTTTCAATTTAAACCCATTACCCCTTGTCCTGTCGCTACAGGCCCTTGGAAGAAGTCCCCCCCACTTCCTTGTAGCCACCCACCCCAGGCACTGGAAGGTGCTATAAGGTCTCCCCGGAGCCTTCCCTTCTCCAAGCTGAACACCCCAACTCTCCCAGCCTGTCCCCACGGCAGAGGGGCTCCAGCCCTCAGAGCATCTCTGTGGCCTCCTCTGGACTCACTCCAACACCTCCGTGTCCTGATGTTGGGGGCCGCAGAGCTGGGTGCAGAACTGCAGGGGGTTCTCCCCGGAGCAGAGAGCTGAGTACCATAATCCCAGATGGAAGCGTGGCCACGAGGGCAGGGCTGCAGTTGTGGCTCAGGCTGGCGTAAGGCTAGCAGGCAAGTGGGCTAGATTCAGACTTGCTGAGCCTTCGGACAGCTTAGTTGGTTTCCAGACAAGCCTGGCAGCGCTGCGATGATTTGGCATGATGCCAGCCGAATGGAGTTGGACATCTGGTTAGAGACACCTGTGAAGTGAAGGCAGGGACAGCAGCAGCCCTGAGGCGTTAGCCAGGGAAAGCCAGCGCAGACCCAAGGCGGCAGGATGAGATGTGGCAGGCAGAAGAGTGGGGTCAGAGAAAGATTAGAACCAAACCACCCCGTAGTTGGCTACTGCCACGTGAGGTTTAAGGCGAGAGGGCTGCGATATGAGCTAAAATGCTGCGAGATTGCTGTTATTGGTTCCTGCAGCCAAAGCAAAGCAGTGTGAGTGCCGACAAGCACCCGTGGAGGGCATCTCCATATCCCGTCGCCGTGTTAGTCGCGCTTTGCGATAGGGAAGTTGCCTGTCCTGGGCTGCAGAGCAGTTCCTTCAAAGGCAGACTCTAAAGAAGCCAAAGCTGCCCAAAGCGGTGCAGATATCTAACGTACGTGTTTAAGCTGGCTCCACCTCTTGCTTTAGCCCGCCTCTGTGTGTTGAGTTGTGTCAGTTCAGCTGGACTGCCTGCAGAGCACAACTGGGCGAGCACCTCTCTGGCCTAGATGTGCCCGGCTGTTGATCACCGCTGAGCAGACGAGGCCTGTGAGCTGCTAGCAGGGCCGTAGTGGCGACGTTTGCTTGGCCATCCCTCTGTAGCCGCGTGTCCTTCTGCCTCCCCTGGATTTTAGGGGCCTGATTTGCTTAGTGTCGGAGCAGAAGCTTCTCTGCCCAGTCACACGCAGCCGGTGATGGGCTGACTGGGCTGGCAGGCTGCGTGAAACCACAACAGGGTTTTTCTCTTGAGCAAAGTGGAAACCCCCTGGTAATTATTTTCGTGTAATCTCCGCGGAGCTTAGCGGCCCTGGCGAATACCCGGCAATTGCCTGTTTGCCAAAGGGTGCGCTCTGATTGCTGCCAAATAGAGCTTATTAATTACTGCTTATCCCTGGTGAGGGCGGCTGTCTCCTCGCCGGGTCCCGTGTGCACACGCGGCAGGGCCGCCACGATGACCTTTGTCTGCGCTCGTGTCCCCACGGTGTGTATCAGCGCAGTGAATGCCCTTCCCTGGTCCCGCGTCACGCAACTCCGTGCAGTCTGAAACAGCGTGTTGTGCAACCAGGAAAGCGGCTAATTCCGCTGTTTTCCTGCTAGCACGAGAGGCTTGGGAGCAGCCAGCGGCCTTGTCAAACTCCTCTTCGTCTTTGTGGTGAGAATCAGCCTCTGGCTTTCCAGCAGGATCGGATCAGTTGGATTATACAGCAGAATAAACTTTGCTGCAGCTAGGAGCTGGGATATTCGGCTCAGGCTAGGCTGCCGTAGCCTACCGGGCCCCAGACGTGGGTCTGGAGCTGCTCTCGCCTCTGCTCGGAGCACGTGGTTCTGGGGACGGTTTTTGCTGGCAGCGGCGGGCGAACGCGGGCGTGCGAGCTGGAGAAGCGGCTGGGCTTTGCGGGGTGCTGGAGAGCGGCACGGTTACCGAGTGGGTCGTGAACACTTGAGTGCCGTAGTGCTTCCTGCATCTCTGAGTGCGGGATTGCAGGGAGTCAGTGAGGTTGGGAAGCGCTTTGAGAAAGAGGCTGTGGGGGGAGGAAGGATGCTCTTGGTATCTTGAGATGCTGAAAGAGGCAGTGTGGGAGGCGGGATAGAAATGACACCTATTGAAGTGGGTCTTGAAAGACATTTTCGAGGGCTTGCTGCCATTTGTAAGCACTTCCTTGTAAGCAGTTACACCAGGGAGTTACTCTCTTTAGCTCAAGCTTTGGTAGGCAATTTGCACTCCGTTTTAGCATAGCCTCTCCTCGTGCCTGCTCCTGCAGCTCGTACCTGCGTCGCTCTGTGGGCACACCGAGAGCGTGGCTGGTGTTTTGCCCTTGCAGGTTGTTGGGTTGTTGGTTTAATTGCAGGCCTCTCGCTGCTGTTACGTTTGAGAGGTATTTAAACCACCTAACTTTTCCAGGGCAGGCTCCGCAATGCCTTTGGTGTTGTAGCTGGACCGAGTCCAGGCCCGGAGCTGAGAACAGCTCAGGCTGACGGCATCGTGGACTAGTGTCCGCTCCAGCCTGGAAGCTGCCCGTGGAAGGGTTCCTCGTTTCTGGCACTCTGGGCACACTTGGGGTGCCGTGCCCAGCTTTGCGTGTGGCGGCCTGGCGTTGCCCTGGTTAACCGAAGAGGCTCTCCCTGATGGCAGAGAGGAAGCTTGGCCACTGGACATGCTTCCTAACGGGAGTTTAGGTTGAGGTTCTCCCGTGGAAATCTCCCTCGGGAGCCTGGAATTCAGCACCGGAGTGATTCTCCCCTTTCCTTCACCCAGACCCCTTTGGTATTCACCCCCTTATCCCAAGGAGGGAGACAGGCTGCAGCAACAATATCGGGGTGCTTTTCCTTCTGGGAGGTTGCTTGGATCCTCCTGGAACTGGCAGCTCTGGAGCAGCAGCATCACCTTTTAGTGTGTTTTGCCCATTCTCAGGCTTCGGTCTGTGACTTCAGCAGTGCTTGTAAGTTGAGACTGGTCACTGCTGGGCTTGAGATGGTGATAGCAGCCCGGTAAGATGCTGCGCCACGGTGTTTCCATTCCCGCTGCTCGGCCTGCTGCCTCCCTCCACGTGTGCCTGGCTGCAGTCGTGCCTGGGCCAGTGGCAGCTCTGGGATGAGCTGTGCTTGCTCGCCAGCGTAGCTTGAGCGTGTGCTGCGCCGCTGGAAGGGATGCGGTGCAGCTCCCGTTTGCTAAACCTCCTGACTCGTACTTTGACTCTTCATGCCTCTTAGTCAAGCTGAGAAACGCCTGAGCCCACGAGATCGTGAGGGAGTAGGGAGTTTCCAGATGGAAGCAGTCATTACTGTTGTAGGTGATGATGAATTTTGAGGGGCATCTCCCAGGTGGCTTAACTGGAGCTGCGAGTTATTGACCGACTCACTGTGATTCCATGGGATTTCACAGAGGCTCCAACGCCTCTGCTCTGGTAACTGGGATTGCAGCGAGCCCAGCACCGCTTGCGTTCGCCTCGTTGCTACGTGCGTCCATAAGCCCTCCTCTTCCCTGTAACCGAGACAGCAAAGGCCAAAGCTGAAGCTGCGAGTGCCAGAAAGGTGCAGCTTGTTTTGCTGTGGAGTGTAATAATCCTGACTCTCTTCCTGAGCTGCGTGGCTGGGAATGAGGGTCCTGCTTCACCTGTTTCCCTCTAGAAACTCCTTGCAAATTCTCTTCTCTTTAAACATTTGCAGAACAAGACTAGATGCACCTCGATTGGAAACAAAATCCCTGAGTAGCTCTGTGTTACCACCAGGTTATAACTCTGACCGTCTAGCGGGAAGCAACCGGGACCAGATCCTGAAACCCAAGCGGTCCCATCGCAAAGCGGATCCCGATGCTGCTCACAGGTAGGATGAGCTCTCCTAAGGGCGATGGTTTGGATGGTGTGTCTGGGGTTGCTTTGACAGGGGAGGCTGCCCAGCACACGCCTGAAAACACCCAAGTCTGCACCTCCTGGGTGCTTTCTGTGGCATCGAGATGTGTTTGATCAGAACGAGGTTCTTTCCACGCTCCTCCTAGGCTTGTGGAGGCTAAGCTCTGGCTCTAAGCAGCTTACATTGTTTATCCCGTGAGTGGCATAATGAAGAAGCAATAGATTTGGCTGGCTCCTGATAACGCAGTCATTCAGAACAATAGTTTCCCTGCAGCTAATTATTTTTGACCTCTATTGCCAAGCAACCTGTGCAGCTGTGTTATACGGTATTATGAAAGCAGTCTTGGGAGAGAACGGGAGGTTTTGCTATCTGGGAAAGGTGAAGGACTTCTTGGGAAGCTTCTCAGGCTAGTTTTGGTTCCGGAGCTGCATGTGTATATTTTTGTGTGGGTAACCAGACTGTGTGAACGCGTAAGCCTGACCTTCAGGGGGTGGAAACTCCTCGCTGAGGTTTCAGACAGCTTGAGTTCTGCAGCAAGGCTTCCCCTAAACACCACCCTGCTCTGTGGGACGTACTGATAGCCGGGGTGATAGCCCGGTAGCAGATAATCTGCCAGCTGTCGCACAACGTTTCGGGTGTTTTCCAATTCCAAAGCTCCCCGAGGATTGAGACAGCGTTCTCTGCGTGTTGTGTAAAGTCCAAAAGGTGGCTCGGTCCCATGTTTCAACCTGTCCTGGAGGGAGGAGGGTGGGGATGGCTAGTGTACGAGCCGTGTTCATTCACCTGGGCTGACAGGGAAGGCGGGTCGGCAGAGGAGCTGGCCTGCGAACGGAATCTTGCTCCCAGTGTGCAGCGGGCTGGTGTAGAGGAGCGATCACGCAGGACAAATCTGCAGCTCCGTGAGATGTTTTTCAGCCTGATGTGACCTTATCGGGGTGAGGTGGCTTACACAGACTCCTGCAGCAGATGCTTTTCTCTTCCTTTGGCCTCAAAAACTCCAGCAAAGCGTAGGTGAATAGCGTGGGTATCGCACCGTGGTACCTCTCAGAGGAACTCGGCAGTTACTCGTAGGATACAGGAGGTGATCGGTGCAGCCCACCAGCCCAGCGCTACTACGAAGCGATGGCAGGCGAGGGCAGGGGCAGCTTTGCAGAAATAATTACACTCTGCTAATGCTGGAGAGGACAAAGGAGCTTGGAGCTGTGGTTTGATCCTGCCCCACACGCAGCCCAGCAGCTTGGGAAGGAGCTCGGCTCTGTGCTGCGAGTCCTGCTGCGGGAGACAGACCCCTCTGCCCGAGGAATGTTTTTTGGGGCCACAAGCTGCACTTAAAAAGAGGTGCCTGTGCTGTTTGGAAGTGTTCCTGGTGGAGACAGAGACCAAAACTTGCCCTGGGAAGGGGAAAGACTTGCACTGTCGACCGCAGCCTCCGCATGGGCGGCAGCGTGGTGATCTGTTCCTGCTCTGCTGGGAAAGCAATGTGGACAGAGTCAGTCGTATCCCTGAAAGCATGCAAAACTGCAGATAGTGTCCGCACCAGGAACGCCCGAATCCTGTCATGGGTGTGCTCTCACCCCCTCTTTCTCCCTCTCTCTCCGTAGGCCACGGATTCTCGAAATGGATAAAGAGGAGAACAGGCGCTCAGTCCTCTTACCAAAACATAGGAGACGGAGCAACTTCAGCTCCGAGAACTATTGGCGAAGGTCTTACGAGTACACGGAGGACTGTGACGAGGAAGAGGAGGATGGCAGCCCAGCCAGGAAAGTGAAAATGAGGCGTCACTGAGGATTGCACTTTCCAGGCTCATGGAGCTGATGAGATTGGCCTCCAGTCTGTGAAAACTTTCTCCTCCCTCTGGCTATCTTCCATCTAGCTTCAATTTTGGTTTTTCCTTTCAGGCTGAAGAGTAAACAGGAAAGATCTAGCAATTTGGTTTTATGAATGGAGGAATGCTGAGATTGTACGTAAGGATGGAACGTGTCCAGCGCACGCGGTGTCCTGAGTCATGGGTCAGACGGGCATCTCTCCCTTAGGAAGCAGATAAAAGTTATGCCAGGCTGTCTGTTGGGATTTCTTTTGAAAACACCAAAAAAGTTTAACTGTTTTGTTGCGCAAGGTTCAAGAATTGTATTTTTTGGGGTTGGTTTTGGTTGGGTGGTTTTGGTTTGGTTTTTTTTTTTTTTTGCTTTAACTTTTCTTCCTTTCCAAATGTTCTAAATATGATGTTTGACCCCAGGAGCTGACGCTCTCTGGTGGCCTCGTGTTCCGTGCTTCACCAAAGGGCTCCTTGGCCCGCTCTTACCTAGTTGTTGTTGGGTTTGTTCGCAGGGCGCCCTGCAGTAACTGGGAGTTTGGAAGGTTTGCAGACCCCTCTTACTGCAGTTGATTTCAAAGGGTTTAGGACGTTTTTGTTGCACTTTAGTACCAGTTTTAAACGCCGTAGGTTTCCTTTCCAAGTCCCTTTTCCCAAGCCAGCGTGGGCTCGCAGCCTTGTCCCTGCGCTGCCCTCTCCGAGAAGAATGTACTAGAGCTCTGGTTTCTCAATGCTGGTCTGAGCAGGGGTGTGTTTTGGTTGAGGAGGAAGGAAATGGGGTTGGCTGCGCCGAGGCTGGTCCGTGTTGGAGCTCCGGCGCTGCCGAGTGATCGCATTGAGTACATGCTGCTTCCCAGAGCTGGGGATAGCAAAGAGGAGGAAGGAGAGACGCTGTGCTCTGGAGGACGCTTGCCTCGGGGCCCTCTTCTCGGAGCTGTTCTCCACTGCCTGGGGGACTGGCTTTCGTCCCCCTGCCCCTTTTAGGTGGAGAGAGTTGAGGTGGCACAGCATCCCATCCCGAGAGGCTGGCTGTGCTCTGTCAGAGCAGGAACGGGTGCTGCTGCGGCCGCGGGGCAGCCGGGCAGCTCCATCCGTCCCCTCCGAGCCTGGCTCTGGGCGTGGGGACGCTGCCAGGGTCTAGTTTGGCCCCAGTTCAGAGCAGCAGTTAGTGCTGCCGCAGTTGCCGGCCTCCTCCTGGCTTATTTCTGCCTGTGTTCCTGGCGTAGGGAGTTTCCCGGTTGCTACAGCAGTAAGAAGAGCCGGGCGTTTGGTCCCGTGGAGTTAGCGTTGGAGAGTGCTGCCTTCCTCTCCTCCCACCCGGTTTGCGTTAGCCTAGACCGAGGCCTCGGCGTTTTCAAAGTTTGGGGCCCGACACCATATTTAGAACCGTACTTTTAAGAAACTTCCTCCAGTTGATTCTTTGAACCCAAGTGTTGGCAGTTGTAAGGAGTAGTCTTATTTTTAAATTTTTACTGCTTTGCCCTCCCTCAAATTGTAGCTTTTCTTAGTGTCGTGTCCCCCACACACTTCACGGTCTGCACGCTTGGCAATAAACAGATGTAATATATTTTGAAACCCGTTTGCTGCTGTCTTAAGGGGCTCCCAGTCAAAAACAAAACCAACCCAAACCCGGGGCGTTGTTCCCCGGCGTGCCGTTCCCTGCTGATGGAGCACGCTTGCTGACGTCTGGGTCTCGGTGTCCTTGTCCTTCCCCGCTGACTTGTGCTGCCGGCCCGTTGTTGGGGTTGTTGCTCAGGCTGGATCGATCGGTCCCGTTAGTGCAAAGGGAATTGTTGTCACCTTCAGCACCGCTGCCCTGCCTGGGGGTTGCTGGGAGAGGCCCCTAGAGCCTGTCTGATTCTCTTCATCCGATTGCTTTCCTGGCGAGAGCCCCGTCGGCTCGGTGCGGAGGTACAGGCACGGCCTCGCCGCCAGCCTTCGGAGGAACCTGTCTTGTCTGCCCAGAGATCTCATGCTTCTGCTGCTTCGGAAACCTTGACACGGCCATTTCAGTCCACACTTGATGTCTGAAGCGGTGTTCCTCCCCCTCCCGGCTTTCTGCAGGGAATCCGGGCCAGCTCTTGGCTACAAACCCCCTGTTTTGGAAAGCTTTGGCATTCCTTGATAGCAAAACCACACGCAGGGAGCAGCAATCCCTTCTCTTCCTCACGGCTGGCGCGAACACCTCCGGCCAGCTAGAGACCTGCTAGCAGGGTGCCTGGCGACGGCTGTTCCTGATGGTCTTTCTGGACTCCTCCTGGATGCGTCCGTTGCCGCTGACGGAGGCAGCGCTCGCTGCCAGAGGTCTCGGCCCTGCACAGCTTGCTCTTCCCCACCGCTTCCCAGTTTTACTCCTACCTCTGCCATCCGGATACTTTGCCCTGGTGTCTCAACTCAAAATGAAGCCGGAGGCAGCCCACCTTTCCAGGGCCGCTTCCCAGAGCAGGATTCCCATGGGACAAGGCGTTGGCTCTGTCTCTGCTGAACGAGGCATCTCGAGGTCTCACCTCTAGGCCGGTACCATCCCGTCACCCTGGTTCTTCGCGCAGCCTGTTCGCCTGCAAGTATCCTTCCTCTCCCAGTTTGTTTCGGTATCCCTGCATGCCGGGAGCTCTCCCTTCCCTCCTTCCCCCCCTGCCCCGCATCTCTGCGCTGGGTCCGAGGGGCTGCTCTCTGGAGCTGCTCCTCTCCGGAGCCGCTCTCCAGCCACCGTCTGTTCTCCTGCGCTCTTGGTGTAAAACCCGACTGGTTGGGCTTTGACACCTTGGAGAGGGAGAGTGGGATGCCACCAGTCCGACTCCTCGGGCGAGGAGCCCCCCAGCGCGTAGGCAGGCCATCTTCCCCGCTTGTACAGGCGTTTTCTATACCCACGGATGTATATGTGTAGATAACATGGTTTTTTAACTCTTTTGCACTGAACAACGTTGGAGCGAAACCTTGATTTGAAACCAGAAGACACGCTTTCACGTGGACCCCGATGTCTAGATCCCTTACTGCAACCTGTCTGGTAAAACCGTGGTGGTGCCCGTGCCTCTCCCCCGTCGCCGGCTGCGTCGGGCTGCCTGCGGGCCTGGGCTCAGGCCG